CCTCAAACTCGGTGTTCCGATTGGCCCGATTGATCCTGGATTTCCTTTTCCAAGCCTCGGTATCTCAGACCTGTTAAAAACAGAGCACATATATAAGGCGAAAGGCGGTACACATGGCAGTTCGAAAAGCTCACAATAGAGATGCATACCGTGTCAATCATCTGTAGCCAAAACCTGTTTGGTATCTATACAGGATGGTGTAATCTAATCCGTGAGAAGTCCTCACCATCCCATTGTTGATCACCAGGATAGGCCTGCGCCACGGCCCAATCACGTGCAGAGCTCATCCAATCAGAGTACCTGTTGTGCATGGCTTTGGTCGAATCGAAAACTTACAGCCCTTCCTGGTGGTGGTCGGCGAAGGTGAAAACAGTGAAAACAGCGGCGACGGTGAGGAGGGCGGTGGTCGGCGACGGTGAAAACAGCGGTGACGGTGAGGAGGGCGGTGGTCGGCGACGGTGAGGAGGGCGTTGGTCGGCGACGGTGAAAACAGCGGCGACGGTGAGGAGGGCGGTGGTCAGCGACGGTGAGGACGGCGGTGGTCGGCGAAGGTGAGGACGGCGGTGGTCGGTATCTGTCTCTCTCTCGCGATCGCAGGTATCGCAGGTAACACAGGTATCTGTCTCTCTCTCTCGATCGCAGGTAACACACAAATGAAGAAGATGGAGGCGGCTCTTAGGTTAAAAGGTAACATATCAGCGACGGAAATATTCCGTCGCAAAAAATTAATATTAATTAATTATATTTTATTATTTAATTAGTAATTAGGTTTTTATTATTTAATTAATTAAATTACTTTTTTAGTTAATAACTATAAATATAATTAATCATTAAATTATGAAACCGAAAAAATCATATTAAGGCCCAATAAACCCAATAAAGTCCATTAAGGCCCAACTTTGACCGAATAAAGCCCATTAGACCCAATAAAACCGAATAAATCCCAATAAGACCCAATAACATCGAATGAAGACCATTAAGGCCCAATAAAACCGAATTAAGCCCATCAAGACCGAATGAAACCGAATCAAGCTCATAAAAATGAAAAAATATGAAAAATAGGAAAATCCCTCGCTGATCCCTCGCAGATCAGCGAGGGATCAGCGAGGGAATGAGTTTTTTGGGATTTCCCTCGCTGATCCCTCGCTGATCTGCGAGGGATCAGCGAGGGAATTGGCAAAAAGCATTTTCCCTTGTAGATCAGCGAGGGAATATGATTTTTGCAAATTTCATCGTTGATCCCTTGCAGATCAGCGAGGGATCAGCGAGGGAATTTGCAAAAATCATATTCCCTCGCTGATCCCTCGCTGATCTGTGAGGGATCAGTGAGGGAATTGTCTTATTATTTTTTTTTATCAGGGCTTAACCCATTTAACTGGGTTTTGTTCGGTTTTATGGGTTTTATTCGGTTTTATTTGGCCCAAATATAAACCCATTAAGGCCCAACCAAACCGAATAAAACCCATTAAGGCTCAAATAGAACCGAATAAAGCCCATTAAGGCCCAATAAAACCGAATAAATCTCATTTACGCCCAATAAAACCCAATAAAGCCTAATAAAACCGACTCGACGAGTATATAAACATCAATCCAATCGTGGTTACAACCACTACACATCTATATATATATCGTGTATACATGTGTATATATACATATAACAATTACAACATTGTGTATATATATATATATTTATATATATATATACTAGTTGTGTACCCGCGCAATGCGGCGGGATGTAAAATTTACATAAATGTAATCGAGCATACCAATTATGAATAAACATTTATATTTGAAATTGTCACACACTAAACATCATTGATTGTCATAGCAAAAGCTAAATTAAACGGGAAATTGTTTTCTCTTTTCAATTTAAAACTTTGAATGGCATAATTTCTGGATGAATATAAAGTTGATCAACAAATCAATTAGTTTTATATTCAATATGTTTCTTTGTTCCATATATTGGGTAAGAGTCTTCTCCGTGCTTGCAACGGTCACGTGGTAAGGTAAGTGAGTTGATAATCGTTTGGTAAACGGTCTCCTAAATCTAAAAAAGTACCTTCCATTTTTACTCTTTGATATAGGTTTCAAAGGCTATTAATCTTGAATGGAAGTTTTGTAATAGAAGCACCACCTTATTGACTGCAGGCTGATGTTACTCGGTTGCTGCATGTAACTGTTTTCCTAGCACCACCTTGGAAGTAAGCTAAATCAAGAACACAAACATTTGGATCGAAATTTAAATTGCATGTTAGAACTCACTTGAGGTTGGCGGTGGTTGAGCATCAACACCACCAGCCAAGTACATGAGGTTCTTTTGGAAAATGGCTTGCATATATTATTAAGTTTAGGCAAGACAACATAATAAAATGTTAAAATGAAAAAGACAGTTTCAAATGGTTTGTCGAATAGAAATGAGATCTGATTTGTACATAGCATTTTAATCTGTGTAAGCGATACATATTACTACCCAAAATCACGTCAACGATACCAAAAGTGTTTCACTTACAGACAACATTTTAGTAAACAGATTTTGGAAGATTTCTTTTTGGAACTATCACCCTGAGATAATCATCAGAGATCTGATGATAGAACCAAAACCAAAATCAGCAAGTACAGAACTAAAAACCATAATCATGACAAAGCATACAACAAACACACAGATCATCATTAACAGGATTCCTACTTCTTCTGCCAATATTTCATGGGTCTTTATTGCAGTTAGCCAAAAATCAGGGACACCCTTTTCTGGAAAAAAAAATTGAAAAATAATAAATTTGGTTCTTATGCACAGAAAAGAGAGGGGAAGCATATATGAAAAGCAGGGTTAAATTATATAGAAAGTATGTTAGGTGTCGTTTACCAAACGCTTATCCGGGTAAGCATTTACCAAATCACTTTATTTTACCGGATGAATATGACAAAGAATAAGAATCTTACCCGGTAAGAGCAAAGGTAGTAATCGAGAGTCTTACCCGGTAAGTGAGGAGGAGGACTCTTACCAAGGTTAGCGCTTACCGGGATAAATTATTGCACACAATGCATTTCAGTGAATAAAATCTTACCCGGTAAGTAAGCGATAGTGTTGAATTTTACCGGTAAGTGCTTACCAGGTAAGTGTTTAGGTAAACGACCCCTAATAGCATCACTATGTGTCTGGTCTGTCGCAGCTTCATCCTTCTCTCCAACTTCAACAACACCATTCACTATATCATATCTCTGTAGTTCCAAAACATAATAGTTTAGTATACACAATAGTATTTAGAGCAAATTCAACAACATCATTCACTTTATCATGTTCTGCCCATATTCAAGGCTGTTGCATCATACATACATTGGCTACAMTGTTAATAATAAAAGGAAGAATGACCAAAGATCATGTCCAAAGTCTTTGTCAGCAATTAATTAGGAAACCATTCTTATATATGGYAATAGTTCTATCTCTTTGTAGACAAGTATTTCTATCTCCTTTGTTCTCAACATCTTTTATTCCAAATTCCTATAGGCAGCTTGGGTAAAACATGRATATCCTCTCTATATAATTTTCAATCTACCAAAAACTTCTTGAACTCGTGAGCACTGATACGTCTTACAAACGATGTCTTGTGAGAGTGAGTTATAAAAATAAACCTTCTGATGTATATGTGTTAGATCTTGAAGTTCTACTATTACCCACATGCATCTTACTCCAGATGGATGGGAAGGGCAAGGTAGGCAAGCATTCAGAAACACATACAAACTTAGCTTTTTATGCCTTGTTTAGCYAGTTAAAAATGAAAAAGTGTTTTGTGACAAAACATTTAAGGTTTGAAAAGCATTTCTTCCCTACTGTTCGTTTTCTTTATGACAATATTATTCAAGTGTCAATTAACTTAGGGTTTGTTTACTTAATTGTTTACCCGGTAAGCACTTACCGATAGGAGTCAACACTATGATTTATTTTAATGCGTAAGATCTTAATATATCAAAACATATTGAATGCAACAATTTAGTGGGTAAGAGTCGTCATCATCACTTACCGGGTAAGACTCTCCATCATTCTCATTGCCCTTACCCGGTAAGATTCTTGACCCTCCTTATGTTCATCCGATGAGGAAATTTATCCGGTAAGTACTTATCAAGTAAGTGTTTAGTAAACGACCCCTTAGATCTGTTTGTACTTTTCAAAACTGCCTATTACTTCTTCGGTTCTCTTATTCATTTTCACAGTTCACCAATCTTCTTCCCCTCCCATTGTAAGATGTGGCACTTGGAAGTGACATCATGAGAAATGGGATGCTAAAAAGGTAAATTTTCTGAAAATTTCATTAGGCAAGCAAGTAGCCCGCATAGTCAAACAAACTAAAGATCCCACGAATAAATGATTTTGCTGACCTATATCCCTCCCCATCCCATTAATTTTAAAAAAGAACATCCTACAAATGCAGCATGCAATGTAAACACAGTAACAGGACAATGACCATATGTCAATCCGACAATGACCAGACATAAGAAAACTCGTATACCTTTGAATACAATGGCTCGTACAGTTTCTGGTATTTCAATTCCAATGTTGCTCTTTCTACAAATGATAAAACATCATAAGCCTTTAGACATTTGCAATTGATAAAACACTTCCACTCTATGTTTCTAACATAGAGTGGAAGTGTTGTTTTTTACCTAAGGAACTTTTTACATTTGGAACAAAAAGATGAAAGCTCAATATGTCCAGAACTTGACACTCCATGTCCGGTACCTGATAAGTAAAAGGTAGTCGTTAGCCTTTAGACTTACACAATTTGGTTTTCAGAATGCTCAATATCTCTTGCCTCATTTACAAGACCTACCTAAGCTTATATTGTCATATGCTAGAAGTATTAAAGTAAATCTATAGTAGTAGCAGTAAGTGAATGTACCTCTTGTCTAGTGTAGGTGCTGTCCGTGATGAAACAGAAGTCCTCAACACATGGAGAACTAATTTTTCCGTACTTCCTTAAATAATCAGATAGATATACCACTAGATTCTAGGAAGATAAAAAAAAATACTCAAATCAACTGTATAATGAATAAAGTTTTCCTAGGGGTTCCGTCACCTTTTTCCAAAAATACCAACTGTATAATAAGATGGACGCAAGTGAAAGTGGAGGGAATATATAGAGGGGACAATGTTATTGGAACACACACAAAACATATTTTGATGATTTCAGGAATCTTTTAACTTTTAAGTAGACATAAGTGAAATATCAATGTAGAAGCCATTTTCAATGAAAATAACTTAACTAAAAAACCACCAAAATCATGCATTGTACTTCAAACGACATTGGAAATCTGTTTGTAAAATTGAGATGTTTTTCTTAACYAAAATCCGGCTCCATCAAAAGGAGAATTAAGAATCCAAAGATTTGATGTACCAGTTGAAAAATATTATGAAAGCCTTTATCCGGTTCGTTTATCTTTCTTTTCTAGTTTATTGTTTTTGAAATTCTAATGAATATATTGTGTCTGTTACGGAGATATAAACTGCATCTATGTATAACATCCATCTGATCAGACAAACAGACTCATAAAAAATAGAATTGAAAGAGAATAATACCTTATTGCAGCCAGGAACAAGTTCTTGAAGCAATTTCATTCTCTCGCTGATCCTTTCTCTCCGAACCTAAATGGAATGGATGAAATCAAACCCCTATGAATTTGATCATTCTAAAAAGTCTGTAATGGAAATGGACAATACTTGTTTATACCATTTCTGCAAGGCTGTGACTGTTTGTAGTCTGACCTCTTTTGGTTCTCATATGAATGTAGTTGTTGTCTTTAGTAGGACCTCCTCCTCCACTATCAATAGAATTCTCTTTTGCTTGTTTTTCCATTTGATTCCCCCTTCAATTGGCTTCAATTCTCTGTTTCTTTTCATCATTTCTTTCTTCTCTTTTACCATTCTACAACCAATCAAGAACCAACAAACTTGTCAAAACACATTCAAAAAAATTTAAATTTCTGCAATRAAATARMGGGATACATACAGTAATGGGGTTGAATTGAGGATGAGGGGATTTTCTTTTGTCTCTGCTATTAGGTGATGAAGAACCCCACATTCAGGATTAAGGTTACCAAAGGGATTCACCTTTTATGAGAAACTGYCACTTCCAAAAGACCCAACTTTTATGAGAACATTTGGAGCAATGAGAGTTGTCTTGGGAAGATAATCTTCTCAGAGGAGTGTGAATGTAGCACTGTTAACTTGTACATGAGGCATAAATTATTGTTTTTAAGACTTTATGCATAAAGAAGTAGCATCATCTTATGCATTGAAGATTGTTTTTGAGACATTTATCAAATCTGATTTATAAGATTATATAGATATAGATAAGCTCAAAGAAAGCTACCCAAAAAGTTGCCAAACATGGCCTTGATCTATCATTTTACGGACTTATCATTTTTCTTGTATGGAATACGGTGTAATTAATTTACGTTTTCACTTTCCAACCTATGAAAATATAACAAATTTGTTGAACCGAATACATACGGCTGAAACAGGACTGATACTTAATACCTAAATGGCTGATTTCTTACATTTATACATTCTTCATTTGTGTTGATATCCATATATTTAATGAGACTGAAGGCAAAAATGCCATTAAATTACCCAATAGACCTAAGATCAGAATATGTTCTTATCATTAATGAATCGAAACCCAGTAAGAAAAAAAGGAATATTTGACATCGACCCAGTTACGACTGCAGCACAATTATGATTGTTCATCAACAAAAGTCGAAATGGTTTTACCTTCAACAAGAAATTACAAAAACCCTACCTAATGTGTGTCTTATCTTCAATGAATCGAAACCCTGCAAAAAAATGAGAGAAATAGATTACCTCCTCTGTTTGAAGTTTGTTGAGGATGACATACGCTAATGGATTGAAAATATAGATGAAATATATATGCATCTCTGTTGGAACCGATGAAATCGAATTTGGGTTTGGGATTTCATCAAAGTCTGTTTTCATCAAAGTCTGTTGGTGATGAAATCGATTTGGGTTTAGGGATAGGAGAGAGTTTTGAGATGAGATCGATTTTGGGGGAATTTGGGTTAGCGATTTCATCACAATCTGTTGGCGATGGTTTAGGGATAGGAGAGATTTGATAAATCGAATTTGGGTTAGGGATTTCATCAAAGTCTRTTATACGGATTTAGGGAGATTGGCGATGGTTTAGGGATAGGAGAGATTTTGAGATGAAATCGAATTTGGGTTAGGGATTTCACCAAAATCGGTTGGATTAGGTTCAGGGATGATAGTATGCTTTAGTAGGTTGTACTTAAAGCAATAGAAGTTGTTTTTAAGAGTTTAAGAGATTAAGAGTTTAAGAGTTTTAGCCAAATGCATTATAAGATAGTATAGATATAACACGGGGCGACGGGTATATATATTTATAACACATGCATATATGTGCATATAATACAAATCGCGGTTAGCAACCACAACATATGTATATATATATATATATATACAAACAACACATATGCATACATGCATACATACGACATCGACATATAAAAATATGTACATATAACACATATACATACATACGTACGACATCGACGTATATATATATATATATACAAACAACACATATACATACATACATACTTATTTTCTTGAATTTTATGTGTTATATTTTTATATTTATGTATCGTATATATATATATATATATATATATATATGCATGTGTTNNTATATATATATATATATATGCATGCATGTGTTATTATAAGTATATATACCCGTTATATATATATATATATGCATGCATGTGTTATTATAAGTATATATACCCGTTAGCCCGTGTTATATACATATATGTTTACACGACGTTGTATGTGTTATATATATATACCCGTCGGTCAATTATATATACACGATGTGTACTAGTTGCTAACCACGATTGGATGGATGAATATATGTTTAAACGTATGTGTATATGTGAATGTATATCATTTTCCCTCACGACGGGTATATATATACTTATAACACATGCATATATCGCGGTTAGCAACCACAATATATATATATATATATATATATATACACACACACACACAAAAACAACACATGACATGCATACATACGATATCAACACATAAAAATGAGAAAATAGGAAAAATAGAAAAATCCCTCGCTGATCCCTCGCAAATCAGCGAGGGATCAGCGAGGGATTTTGCAGAAAAACTTCCCTCACAAATTAGCGAGAGATCAGCGAGGGAATGATTTTTTTGGTAATTTCCCTCGCAGATCAGCGAGGGAACAGCGAGGGAATGAGTTTTTTGGGATTTCCCTCGCTGATCAGCGAGGGAAATTTTCCCTCGCAGATCAGCGAGGGATCAGCGAGGGAATGAGTTTTTTGGGATTTCCCTCGCTAATCTTTCGCTGATCTGCGAGGGAAAATTTCCCTTGCTGATATTCGTCGTTGATACATGGTTTTCTAGTAGTGTTAGTGTTTACATATCATAATTTTTTTTTTCATCTAAGATTAGTATTTAATTGAATGAACATTTTTTTATTTCATAATGTGTTTATGAATTACATTTTAGATGCATTTTTTGTTTCCAAAAACGCCAAAAAAATCCTAGTTGTAAAACAAATATATGGTAATACACCATAAATTCTAGCTTTAGATGAAAAAGTCCTCACAATTTTATGGGTTCTCAAATGATTAATTTCTCTCCCTCTCTCACACACACACACATATATATATATATATATATATATTTATATATATATATATATATATATATATAATCGGGTACAAATGAGAACAACACATATTTTAGAGAATAAGAAAATTGTCGAATCATATATATGTGATTTTATACTAACATCACGTACAAAATTACATGTGATTCAAACGACTTTGCCTCATGACCTGAAGACGCAGCCAAAGTCGCACGCACCTTCTTTTGACCGTTCATGTAAAATCATATGATTTTTCACGTACTTTGTCCGTTTTCGTATTCTCTTAATAGTTAGTATTCTCGTTTGATCCCCCCTCTCATTCTCTCCCTCTCCCTCTCTCTCTCTCTCTCTATATATATATATATATATATATATATATATATATATGGTTGGGTTCAAGTGAGAAACATAGCTAAGTTGAGAAGCGTAAGAATGAATCTTCACCCTTAGATTAAGACGAGATGCACCAAGATGCACTGGATCAATCCCCGTATCAAGCATGATTCATGAGTGAGTTTTAGATTAAAATGATCAATGGTCAAGATCCCTTCTTATGCTTCTCACATTAACTCTCTTTCACACACGACTATTCTCCTATATATATATATATATACACACACACACACACGAAGAATTGTGTGAGAATATGAGTTAAGATGAGAAGTGTAAGAAGGGATTTAGATCACCCATGAATTGCGTTTTAGAAGAGCATCTATCTTGACGAACGAATATTAACGATGTTGAACAAGCACATTTTCTTAACGAGTGAACATGAACATAAAAATCTCGTTTGTTTACCGTTCATGTTCGTTCGTTTCGTTTATAGTGTGTTTTTGTG